ACAGAGCGTGCAAGGAGGGGGGAAGGAGGAGAGCGTTGGGCCATCTTAGAGGCTGTCTCGGAGCCTTCTTGACGCGGAAGAGGCCGAAGGCCACCCTGGACGAGTGAAAGCGGGCCCTGAGCAGCCGTTCGCTGCCTCCCTGGAGCTCGGGCCCTGGCTTCGGCGCCCCGCCCCCTCGCCAGGTCCCCCTGGGTTCCGTGTGGAAGGTCGGTGATGTCTGTCCCCGCCGCCCCTCTCCTCGGGTCCCTCCTGGGCGGGGCTGCTGCCGGGTTCGCTTGCCCCTGGATCGCGAGGTGGACGTTCTCTACGTCCCCCTCTCTCGCCAGGTGTCCCATGGGGAGCCCCTCGGCGTGGGGGGCTGGTGATGTCTGTCCCCGCCGTCCCTCCCCTCGGGTCTCTCCCGGGCTGGGCAGCTGCCGGGCTCGCAGACCCCTGGATCGCGGGGGTGATCGTCCCCTCACCCCAGGGCTGACCAGGACCCCGCGCTGATGGCGGTAACATTACCTCACTCATAGCGGCGGTTAGCTGCGACCCTGGATCCCCGCGGGGAATGGCAGATACGACGGGTAAGGCAGTGCCTCGACGTTGGCCGCCCTTCCGTAATGCGGGCGGCTGTCGTGCAGCTCTACCCTGGATTCCCCTGCCTCGCTGGCGATGTTCATCCCCGCCGGCCTGGCGTCTCTCACGCAGTGCATCAGTCGGCGACCATCACGCAGCTGATGGAAGGGTCGGCCCCGTCGGGGCCTTCCCCGTGGTGCGCGGGATGGTGGACCTTGGAGTTTGTGCCGCTTTCGAGTGGTTCAGCCCTCGCAGCCGCGGCCGCTCCCCCGGGCCCCTCCCACTTTCCAGGCTGGTTTGCGACGTTCCTCGGCAGCGCAGTTTCTGGCTCGCAGACGCCGTTGGCGCGACCTGGGCTTGGCGCCCCACTGGCGACTCGCCCATCGCTTACTACCCCTGGACGCCCAACGGGCATGTTGGACACGCAGTCATCGCCGCACTCGTCCTCGTGCTTCGAACGGGCCTTGCCTCGCGGCCTCTAATTCCCCAGCATTTTGCTGGGCTGCAAGTGCCTGAGCTTCCCTGGGCGCCCTCAACTCGCCAGCTCTCCCGCGCAGCCTGCCGCTGCTTGGTGGGTGAGCTGGCCGGCCTGCGGCGCGTTTAGTAGCTAATTGATTTGCTACCGTGTCCCGGAGCGCTTCTGACTCCGCTAGCGCCTTCGCTGGCGGACGCGACCGAAAAAAAGTATCCCCACCAGCCCATTCAGAAGCCCTGCCCATGAGAGCTGACCGGAACAGGGACGAAGAGACACATCTAGAGAAACAAAACGAGCAACCAGGGTGGGCAGAGATCTCTGGGAGACACATGTAGTGAAACAGAGCGTGCAAGGAGAGGAGAAGGAGGAGAGCGTTGGGCCATCTTGGAGGCTGTCTTGGAGCCTTCTTGAAGCTACGGGGCTGTTCGGGGGGATATTGGAGTCTTCTTGAAACTCTTTCGGGGCATGCGGGTCTTTTGGGGCTCTCTTGGCGTTCTCTTGGTGCCCTCTAGGGAGCTATGGAGCGCCTCTTGGGGCCGTCTTGGAGACCATCGATCAAAAGACGGGGGGCCCTCGATTTGCCCCCCCTTCCGGGGCCATCAAATTGTTTTTTGGGGCCCTCTTGTGCGCTTTTGGGGCCGTCTTGGGGGCCTCTTGGGCCCCTCTTGGGGCTTTCTTGGGCCATCTTGGGGCCATGTTGAGGCTTCAAAAGCGCATCGGAAGCGAAAAGGCGAGAAGGCAACAATCATTGATTTTCCTTAGGTTGTTGAAGGATTTTGGCCTCTGAGAGCACCTGGAACCATCTTGTGGCCCTCTTGGGGCCTCTTGGAAACATGTTGCTAGTTTTCTTGAGCCATGTTGGGTTATCTTGAGTGATATTGGAGGCTATCTTGGGCTCTCTGAGGCCATCTTGGAACCATCTTGACAGGAAAGGGACCCTCGGCCACCTCGCGGCCCCCCCCGTCCAGGTCCACGGGAAGGGGGAAGGGGGAGGGGTAAAGCCTTCCCCGAAGGGGAAGAGGGAGTTTTGGAAGAGGGAAGAGAGATATCGTCAGACCACCTGCGCCCAAATGGCTGGTGGGGATTCTCTTTTAACGGTGAATCAATGTTGTGAATCCATGTGGTGCAATAGACGTGGTGCAATCCGTGTGGTGCAGTTTTTATTTTGCGCAATCTGTGCAGTGCAGTCTGCGTAGTGCAGTCGACGTGGTGCAATCTATGCGGTGCATTAAAAATAATAAAACGAACGAGTTGACACATTTCATGCCCCTGCAAACATCCCACCCACCCACCCGCAAGTTGGTTTGCAAAACCCATGCGGCGGCGATTGCGATGAGTGCTTAGCGTTGATTGGTGCATTTCCACGGCCGCGCTAGCCCGCGCATGCTCGCGCGCACAGCGGCCAGTTAGTTTGGCGCGACCGACGCGGCCGCGGTGGCGCTGACAGCTGGACATTTCCCAGCGGACACTTCAGTGCGAGTCGGTGACTTGGGTGGGCGCGGTATCATGGCGACGCCGACAACTGTAGAAACGATTCTGGGAGTAGCGATAGTGACGAGGGTGGCGATGACGACGGCAAGGCCAATGACGGCGCCGATGTCGATCACGCCCGCCGATAACGGTGACGATGTCTTCGCGTCGGCCGGTGCGCGCGATTGGTCCGCGTGGTTTGATCGGACACGGATCGCGCCCTTTCAACAGTCGCGCAAGCGCGCTCGATTGAGTTCGACATGCGGCGCGAATGGTTCATTTCGCATATTTTGATGAGGATGATAGAAATTGGTATGGTAAAGCATGATTTCGCATGAACGCGCACGCAGGTTTTTTATGGAAGCTGGTGTTGCAAACCGTGTGTTTTCAAATATTTTCGGGGCGTTCGATTGTGATAGAGAGGGAACGTAGTCAATTCTGCTCCGACTTCAGAAGATGATCGTCTTAGTTGCGGAAGGCGTATCGTTTCAGCACCCCCGGAAAACGGTTCCAGGAATTTTTTCAATCTAAAAGTGTCCATTGCGCCATTATGAATCTCTTGAAACGTACCCTTCATGATATTCCGCCCACCCCAGCCCGTCATGTACATCCGCGTTCACGGTATGAACTCACCTCAGAAACAATTTTCTCCAGACCGGAATCCAGCCAGTTGCTCAGGCTGTTTAGAGCCTTGCTATTCCCCGAACGCTTCTTGCTACGGGACTTGGAGGAGGTCGGCGGTTGAGGTATACAAGCAGCACGCACACATCGGCGGGCCCTTGCTTCACTCGGAGATTCCAAACCCGACCAACGTCCTGATCAGGGCTTTCCCATACCTGCCTCATTCAGGAGGGAAAAGAAGACAGACACAAGCAGTCGTCGTTTCCGAGGAAAATACGGAAAGCATGGGAAGTGGAGGGGCAGGCGGAAATCATAAGATATGTAAACATGCGGTGGATCTTGGGAATCTGACTTGTTCTCTTGTGTGTCCCTGGGACCCAGACAAATTGATATCACAGCTATCCCAGACATCCACCGGTATTTTTTTTCAATCCGTGGCCCCAGAAGTCCCGATCCTTTCCCCTTGGGTGTTGTTCTGCCCCGGATGATTTTTTGATGGTCCCTGTGCCCGACAGCGGGCGCCGGAGGCCGAGATCCAGGAAAAACCGCCAGATTGAAAAAGTCGTATCCTTGGATCTCTGGGACTGTTGGGACACAGACCCTCGCCGCACCCTCTCCGCCCGCGCGCTTTCGAAGTGCCCCGGGCGCCCGCGGGGGGCAGCGGGCTAGAAGTCGTGTCAGCCAGCAAAGACATTCCCGAGGCGGGGAGTTTTATGAGTAAAACTGCCGCCCGGGGAGTCGATTTTCGGGGGGGTTCGGCGCGCGGTGGATACGGATGTTTTCGGGGCTCTGGGGCTCTAACAGATCCCCAGAGACCCGACGCTCGGACAAAAATTGGCGCGGGCGGTTTTGGGCAGTTTTCGGCCTCCAGGGGTTTTCGCCTGGCACCGGGACCGTCAACGAACGACTCAGGACGAAAAGCCGGCCCCTGGGGAAGTTATTCAGCCCTCTGGGGCCCACGCATGGAGCAGCCCGATGTCTGGGAAGATATCCAGATCGCCAGGACGTGGGTCCCGGGACGTCGGTTCCAGGATTTCGGTTCCAGGGGCGGTGGATATGGACATATCACCACCTGGCAAACACGAGATCATAGTTTCGGCTTTCGCCCAAGATCTCATGAGGCGGTCCTGAGTCGCCAACAGGGGATTGTAGCCGAGAGCTCGGAGAAACAGCTCTGACACCACTTCCCCGATGGAGGACCCTCAGAGGAATGCAACGTGTATCAAGCAGCGATAGTTTGCGTCAGTGTCCAAAGCCTCGAAGAAAAACAAAAACAATAGCATCAACTTTCGGCATTCCCTGCGGATTTCTCGGAACTGCGCTGGAGCCCCCTGGCGGCGCCTCCAGCGCCGCCCCTGGCGCGCTCCGCGCGACAGGGAGGGGGGTCAGCACAGATCCAAGAAATCCGCGCGGAGCGCCAACAGTTTATGTTTATGCTGGCTTTGTCTTTCTCTAACGCCCAGACATTTTCACTGAGACTCATGGGCTTGGGAAATGATGAGTTGGGGAGACAAGACGGAGCAGCAGCATGATAAGTAGAGTAGGAGGAGAAGGCGCGACAAGAGAAGGCCGAGGAGGAGGAGGAAGAGGAGGAGGAGGAGCAGGAGGAGGAGGAGGAGGGAGGGAGGGAGGGAGGGAGGGAGGGAGGGAGGCAGGGAGGGAGGGAGGCGGAAGAAGAGGATGAGGAGGAGGAGGAGGAGGAGGATGAGGAGGCGGAGGAGGGGGAGGAGGAGGAGGAGGAGGAGGAGGAGGAGGAGGAGGAGGAGGAGGACCAGGAGGAGGAGAAGGAGGAGGACCGGGAGGAGGAGAAGGAGGAGGAGGAGGACGACGGGAAAGAGAGGATCAGGAGGAGGAACCCAAGACTGGCCCTTGCCAGGAATTCGGGCTTCCGCTGGACGTGGACGCCTGCCGGCGGCTGGGGCAGCGTGGGGTCGAAAAGGCTCCCCTGCATTCCCTCGATCTCGGCATGCAGCGCGCCGCACTTCTGAAGAGCTGACAGATCGCTCGCCGGAGTCTCAACGTGCTGGGGCCGTCTTCGGGCCACACGGTCGTCAAGAAACGACTCATGACCAGAGTCGGGTCCCAGGGGAAGGGTCGAGGCCGCCAGCGGCCCGCGGCTCGACGGCTCAAGATGTCGGAGGTCTGGGTGTGGGCGTTGGGCAATATCGCTTGCGGCGAGCAAGATCCTGAGTTAGGAGTTGACGAACATGCGCCCCACCCTGGGAGGTCGCCCCCTGACCCTGTCCCCCTTTGTGCGCTGCCGATCTCGAGAGGATATCTTCCTCCCCGCGCGAACGGCATGGACGTCGTGCGTATGTATTCGCTTGCTTGTGTGTGTGTGTGTGTGTGTGTGTGTGTGTGTGTTAGCGTGGGCGCACGTCTGGGTGTACTCGGGGGCCTTCTTGCACGCGTCTGTGCATAGACGCATCCGCATTCACCTGTGACTGTGTTTCTCGTCATGTTCGCATGCTTTTTGCG